TTATCAACACCCTCAGCGGGAGTCGAACCGCGACAGTGCAGGATGGGAGCTTGACACGTTAACCACTCGGAAACGTCAGCTCAACTCATATCATTGTGGGAAAATTCTACTACCAGTTCTTTATCACATTAGACAAAATAGGGTGAATACATCTCATATTACTGATTTACTTGTAGTCTCGAAACTCTACTCTAATACGAAAATAAAACCCATTAGTCATCTGAATTCTTAATTAGAATGTGCAGTGAGTAATTAATAATAAAAGCTAATGATCATTAACTTAAAACATGATCGTAATTATTTGGCCAAGAAACGCATCAGAACAATATGTAGTGACCTATCCACACACTTTTACCATTCACTATTTAGTTTTTGTTATATCCTATACGTAGCCATGGCTCGACATCCTTACGTGAGTGCGTGACTAATCTTTACTCTTTATTTCACATCGCCTAATCAAAGCTTGGCGCCGCATCGTCTAATCAGAAGTTGGCATGGAAAGCTACGCAAGGTTACATCAAGTAGCTAATATTCTTGCCTCTTTGATAAGTTCGTAGCCTGATGCGAAGAGTGGCAGAACTCACTGATGATGCCGACTACGATGCCAGTGAAAAGTTTGAGTAGGTACCAAGTTAACTGTCTGATGCTGGGAAGTATGATAACTACTATAGCAGGGGACTTCGGACAAGGTACGTTTTAATAAGTTTCCCAGACAAAAGATGTGACGAGGTCAACCCACTTCTATAAATCGAAAGAAGACTGCGAACATACTCGAAGCTACACCATCTTGGTCTTCATATCTTTGATTAACTAATATTCTCTTTAAATCGGTCACGTTCTTTTACCTCCGCCGTGGCCCGAGGGGTTTAGAATGCTCTATTTGGCGCCATCTTTCAATTATTGTCTTTCTATTGTCAGCTCATACATGCTGTATTCGGCCATTTCAAAATAGGACAATTGGCAATACTAGTTGTTCCTTTTCTCTCTTCATTTTAGGGCCTCCAACTTTGGAGTTGTAGAAAGCAAGTGTTTTATATTTTAGAGACAGTCTACATCCTTATTAGGAACACAACAAAAACATCAAGAAATATTTTTAACCTTTTGCGATAACTGTTTTACTGTTTTTATGGCATAGTTTTCACAAATTTCCTGGTAATTGTTTCATGCAAAAAATGGGCCCTCCTTTTGACATTACAAACAATAAGACAACAAAATGTTTGTAAATATACCTGGCCAGCATTCCTATGTTTAAACAATACAAGTAATGAAAACGAGATAAGGGAGAGTAGACTGACTAAAGTCTAGCTATCAAAACTTAAATTTGAATTCGAGTAAGGAGATCGCGAGCATAAGTGGCCGACTTACGCAAAGGGAAATGTGGACTGGGCGTTATTAATTCCGAAGTAGCAGAGGCCATCCAGTCGAGTTCTGCATCAGAATGAACATCTCCAACCGACATATCCCGCTTCTTGTTAGTGAACCCAGCACGAGTCCGGATGGCTCTGGAGCGACTCCTGATGCTGCCAGGAGCAGGTGTGTCAAGGCTTGGATCCAGTGCAGCTGTTTGGGGAGTGAGGTGGCGAAGCTGAGCAAGTCGGCGCAAACAGCCGGCCAAGCGAAGAGCCAGTTCACCACCTGTGGGATCAGAACGGGCAGGCCTACTGGTAAGCTCTGCTTGAAGCAGATCACGCCAAACAGCCTCAATCAAGGCTGGGTCCTGGACGAATGTTAAGGAAGACAAGGTCAAGAAAGGAGGCAAATAATAGCGAGAAATGAAAAAGGAAAGTTATGAGCAAAAAATGATATTCTGCAAAAAGCATAAGTATAAGGCATAAAGAAATTGTGGTGTAAGTATATAATGAAGAATGAAGGCAAAAAATTAAGGATTTTAAAGCTGAAAAATCAAATCAAGAAAATATGGTTAAAAAGTAATGTAAAATGTGAAACTTAATTAAGAATACCACCATGGTATTGATAGAAATGTGAGGGCTTACTTTCAGTAGTAGGATTAGTTAAGCTCACCTGGATTTTGAATGAAGGTGT